CAAAAAAAAAAAAAAAAAAAAAAAAATAAAACTGATGTTTATTCGTGTTCAATTCCACGGTGTGTATAATATATACAGATATATAATTGTAATAATTTCGTGAAATTTAAAATTGGCTCAAAATTTTAGACTTATCAAATATCCGGCACAGACGCGCCATCTACCAGTAACGTATCCATATCTCAAATATACCGACGTAGACTTCCATTAAAACCAGGTAATGCTAAGTAGAAAATAAATTATAAATTTTAACAGTAATCTTGTAACACCTATTTTTAAAATTGACGCAGGTTTCAGGTATTTACCGATTGCTAAGATGAAAAACAGTTTACCTTGCGGCGTCATATTGGTTTTTAAATTAAAAATGCATTCAAGTTAAATGAAATTAAGGAATTGTTTAAAAATGAATTAACAATTTGCAAGATTAATTGACATGTGTAGGGTTTATTGTTTCACAACAATTTATAAAATTTGAAGAAACGTACAGAGGCAGAAAAGTGAGTCTACAGTGCCAATATTTGTAGATTTTTGTATTTGCATATTTAATAATCATATGTAATAATAGTGGAATAAAAAGTCTCTTCGATGACGTATATGGAGATCCAATCTACTTAGGTTTATTTGATTCGGTGAAAATACATACTGACATTAATTTTCTTAATCTTTTAGACACTTCGAACTCTGAATGTCGGTTTCACTTGGATCAACCACTTCTAGGAGACTCTTTAGCCACTTGTTGATACGAAATTGCAGGACAAATTTAAAGGTGAGTTTTTAGTAAACCTTATTTCTCATAACTTCTTCTTTACTTAAAGAATTTTCAAAATTGAATTTTCAGTCTTTCAGAAGTAAATTGGAAAAACCTTTTATTCGAAATAATAGCTACTATGGTAACTCAGATACTCTATGACATTTTTATTAATACATACGTGATATGAAGAACGCATATGAAAAACCTGAAGATGTGGAATGCATTTGAGATAGAAAGATAAACGCTAGAAAGTTAATCGACTCATTTTTGGATTATTAAAACGTATTCAAAGTGTGATCAAAATGAAAATTAACGTCATAGTCAAATGGACTATTGACGTCGTAGGATTCGTTAAGGAATGGAAGGCTTTCTTAGAAAAATCGTTATGAAAATTCGATGTTTACGATTTTTCACCTATTCCTCTTTTTACACTTTGACGTCAAGAAAATCCGTCAGATGAGCAACGTCGTTAGCAGCCGATTAGAATTTAATGCGAATCGATTGTCAGGACCTCCCGAATTATTCGAAACTGGTCACTTTCACTTGTAGTTGCTGCTCTGGAAAGCTAGCTTCGTATAGCAGTCTGTAGTTTTGCTAAGTCGCCAAGAGAAAGATTTCACGTATTCAAGTTCAATGGCTAAACGATGGAATGTAACTTTCCATTTTATCAGGGTTTTAACAAAAGATAATTAAGGAATTATTTGATTAAAATTATTAACCTAACAGGTAATAACACTCACTATTTTTAGACTCGATCTACTTCTAATATGATTTATTAGACGTAAAAGAATAGAAAAACATACAGTTAAGTAAAGAAATATAATTAACGATGACGTTGCAAATAATAGGCAGTAATTGCATTCGAATAATTGTTGTGCCAAGGCAAAAAAATAAAGCAGTTTATCTCGTGCATTGTTCGCAGCTACTTATATTACTCTTATCTACGAATTTCTTTTTTAATTTGGAATGTTTATTTAAAACGCAACATGTTTATATACCGCATGTTACGTTATCAGTTACGAGGAACAAAATATGTTAGTGCAGATAAGTTACAACTCTTTCTCAACTTTAGTTAGGTTATTAAAACAAACAAAATCTTTAAGATTATATATGATATATACTAAGGTTCAGATTGTAGGACCTCAACAAAATTTGGTATAATTTCCTACCTTCCAAGTATTATAATCTTCCATTGGAATTCTTCGATATCGACATTATTCTCGACTGGTTTGTACTTATGACCCGATCCCAGTTTTTGTCTGTTTGATATCGACCAGATCTCCTTGACATGTTATGACACGTTATGGACTGTCACGTTAATTTTTAGCCTGACACACCTCATATAAAAGTATTTTATAGTTTTATTCGAATATGAAAACATTTCCAAAAAAATTCATTTGCCTATCGATATTACTCGACTAGCTACAGCACCTTCATTCCAGTCTTGTTTTTGCCACGATCTAGCAGACGAAAATACGTGGATGGAGGATCAATAGATCAAAAGGATGGATCAATAGACATTCCGTAATCGGTTCAATTCGCAAATTTCATGAACGAAATACGAGTGATTCAACGCAATTACACAGAAGTACGAGTTTTTCTTTTCCAATTTGCACTATATACAATGGCTACAAGACTCATCTTAGTTCATTTATAGATTTGCAAAATAAGTAAAACATATGAAACAAAAATGGAACCAATGTGAATTATTTACACGAAGTAAATGATCTTATGAGATGCTTCTTTGAAATAAGTTCGGAGCTGTTGATGTAATAATAAAGATGTTGTAGTATATTTTTGGAAACCTTGAAAGGTAAAGGGAGACAACTCGTACAAGGATAGCAGGGTTTCGTCATAAAAGATTAAAAGACGGACAAGAAAAGGCAAACCAGATAAAGAAATCATTGGTACGACACGCTTTATCCTCCAAGTACAGTATAACGTTCAACGAGTTGTGTAGTAACATAAATTGTAAGTAACAAGTAAGTAACAAGTAACAAGTAACGTAAATTATAAGTTACATAAATTAATATGTAAATTTATTGCTGATAAATCCCATTATAATTATATTAAATAATGAATTTATATTAAATAATCCTTTCAGAAGAAAAATCAAAGAGCAGAGGACGAAATAAGTAGATAAATAGTTGATCGATGCACACGCAATTACCACACTCATGTTGCTTGTGTACGACGGCAGATGCGCGCAGACTTGTTTCCGGCGATCGTCGAGAGGGTAAAGGCGTACCGGAGTCGCCGTTTCATTCAGTATACCAACGACTGTAGTGCCGGTGAGACGAGTATCTCTCGATTCGTGGGCGACTTTCGCACAGGTACACACTTTTGTGCACCTCAGTGGCTCGCTTTTTGCTTGTTCTATCCGTGTTCCGTCTATTTCCGTTCGGCAACGCGTGTGCCTCTTGCAACAGGAACGCAACAAGAAGAAAATTCATCGTTCGATAGTAAGACTCTTTTTATCCTATTCGCAAATCCTTGATCGATTGTGAATATTTTTTTAAGAATATTCTCCTGCAGAGGAAGATTTATCTGGACTGAGGATTCGCTTCTTTCCATTTCTATTTCTGTCCAGTCGTTAAGATACGTTGCACGGATATTCGTGGTGAGACAAAGTTTATAAACGTTGAAGCGGAGCAACGAGGAAGACTTACAACGGCCGTAAATTGAATTCATGCGTTAACGACGCTCGATAGTTCACAGCGAGCGGATAGTTTTGAAAGTGGCCTTCTGATTTCTCGAGTTGAGTCCCAATGAATTCTTCGAAAAGGCATTGTATCTGCATCGCGGTGACTCGCTTTCCATTGTTCGTTTTAACCGAGCAAAAGTCACCTTTACATTCGATTTTCGCTTTTTTCTATTTCTGATATCTCGGTTTTTTAGTTTGCTTATCTCCTCTTATTTCCGCCCTATGAATCATGATTGTAAAGACGTTCTTGTAACTCTTCATTCACCTATAGTTTCTTGTGCTAGAAAAAATGCAATAAACGCGAGTAGTATAAGAATAAGTAGTATAGTAATGTAGTAAATAGTAGTATTGAAACATTGTTTAAATTGGCATTGTATCAGATAATTCGAGAGAGTTTAATTGACATTTTTGAGGAAAACGTTATCCATGACTGAGCTAATAAAGAGCCTTATGTGCACGGATCGTGTCACGCGACATTTTGCCACGATCATTTTATATCACTGGCTATTGCTTTTCATTATTCCTCGTTAACGCTCAATTGTGTTTCTTTGACGCATGCAACCTGACATAAAAATTCGTTGCTCATTGAAACTGTCGAATTAAAAATAATAATTAGACAAATTAGAACACGCTAACTACCGAAGAGTTCATGGCAAGGTTAATTCTTTCGAAAAGTTTTAGTTCCCGATAAATTTGTTTTTTCTCGAGAGAGAATTAGGTTTAGAATTATTAGACTAATTAGAAGAACAAAACGAATTCGTGGTCGTTTCAATAAAGAAAAATAACCGAAGAGTTACAAGTTTGTTATGAATGGAACACGTGGTGGAAAATCGAAAGTGAATTTCACGTTTCATTAGAAAGCGAATCGATGCTGGATATTCGTGGTTCCCTATAGTATTATCAGCCGGAAAAGTCGTGAATGGCATAATACCGATTGTATAGTATACTAGGAAAACCGACAAGAACGTTTTGTTCCATGACGTTCGAGGAACGATACGCTTTTACTTTCGTTTACTGGGTGCAAGGTTCGATTAACGCCTTAGATCCTTAAGTGATGCTCCATACTCCGAACGTCCTCTTTCCTCTGAGGGCAAGAAGAAAGTGATACTAAATTTTGGAGAAAGCGTACACTAGTTTCTATACCCACGTTACCGACTACTTTTGGCGTAGCTAACAGAGGTCGTTGATGGACTTGCAAATATCATTCCCATTATCATTCCCATCTTTCTATTTTTCAACCAGAAGCACGACATTCGTCTTAATCTTAATTAATTAATCTGACGTTGTACACACTAACTTATTAGCTAGTCGATTATTTGAAGTTTTCTTTATTCGATAATCATTAAAGGTAACGTAGCGTGTAATCGAGCAGGAAAGATTAACATAACGAATTATGCCATCCTATTAATTTTATTCGCACGATCGATCTTCAATCTCTAATTTGTTATCTCAATAACAAACAAGAATAATTATGTTTTTCAGACGAGGTCAAAAACGTGTGTGAAAGTAGTGGCACTCGCTTCAGTATCGTCTAGATTTTGGTCCTAGTCGCAACAACGTTCTTTATTCCTGAAAGCTTTACTACATGCGGTTTCTAAACTACGACCAATTATGACATCCTGATAGATCAAGCTCCTACAGTTACAAAAGAGTCGCGTGACGTGATAAAACGTTGGAATTTTAACCGATACAAGCTGGGTCGAAGCTATTTGAAAATTTAACCAAGTAAAAAGAACGGCAGCCATGTCGTTTCTCAGATCCATTGGAGATCTGATCGGTTTCCTCATCCTCACCCTGGTGTCCATATTCGAAAGCATCATCAAAACGTTCATCCCGGCAAAATACAAGATGAAGAGCATCATCAGGGAGGTCGTCCTGGTGACTGGGGGTGGCGGCGGCTTGGGAAGGTTGATCACCCTCAGGCTAGCCAATCTAGGCGCCATCATGGTCATCTGGGACGTTAATCAGGAGGGTAAGCATCTCTCTGCATTTCGAAATTACTAAATCTGACTAGAAAATTAGTCGAAATCATCTAGTCCAAGTTTTTCCTACTACCAAGTTGAGATTACTAACAAAATTAATTAGAAACTAATCTTGAAAGGTCGCAGTTTATGGTTGAAAGGTACACTGGGATCAAAGTAATTTCTTAGGTATCTAATAACGAGTCGAATCACTCAACAACGCTAAAGATAGGCATAAGTGACATAAACCAAGAAACTCTCTAATAATGCTAATCCGTTTGAGACACGGTTTTCAAATAGCAACCACCAAGTACGAGAGTATAACTTAACATGACATTATGCAACAAATCACGGCTGAATGAAAACATATTTTTTAGAGAACCTAATAATGATAATCGTAATTCTAATTACAATTAACTTCCAACAAACTCCTAAGTGTGTTTCGATTCTCATCTATATGCTATGTTCAAAGCACCGAATTATCTACACAATCTCATCGCAGGTTTAAGATTCATAAATTCAAGAAACGTTTTATTAATCCTTCACATGTTTGACCAATCGTCCTCGAGTGACCTAAAACGAAGTAAAAACTCGTTTTTGGAAGATATAACCCACGGACAAAACGTTGGTCCAAGGAGTATACGTGATCAAGCGCTCGTTCACGACCTAGTGTCCATGAATTTTTAAAAGAATCTGAAACAATACACGGAAAAGTTTTCGGAGATCTGCTCCGGTTTTCGTGATTCACATTCGTGAGCACGCAGCACGAACTGGTGGAAGCTTGGACGAAATATCAGGACATCGATATCGAAAGTGTTCGAGCCACAATCAGGCTACCAACGAAGCTATCAAGCCTCGACCGAAATACGAAGGACGATGTCAACGAGATAATTACACATAGCACAAATCCCGTTCGTCTCTTGATGAACACCCTAATTTCTTGGAGCCACAATCAGGCTACCAACGAAGCTATCGAGCCTCGACCGAAATACGAAGGACGATGTCAACGAGATAATTACAGTCGTACATAGCACAAATCCCGTTCGTCTCTTGATGAACATCCTAATTTTAAGGTCGCTTAAAACGTGATCAGATTTGGAAAGCACATCGATAGAAGCGAGCACGGGTTCGGTACTTAATTTCCAAATGTATGTAGCGTCCTTGCTTTCATCCAGGTTGGAATATAAAAATTGCCGAGAACCTCGTTCATCTGTCTGATTGTGTAAAACGAAGCTTGTTAAATAATACGAAAGATTTCTTATTGTATCTTCTTATTCTCATAATTTATTTATTTATCCTTAATTATTCATTTATTCTCCGTTTTATTTTGCAAAGATCGACAAGCAGTAATAACAAACATTAACGCATGCAAACAAAAATCTGTAATAAGTAATTTATGTTGTGATTCTCGAATCGAGTGATGAATAAACATCATCGGCATACTAACCTTGGCATGTGTTCGTGACACGTGACTCGTAATTGTTTCGTTAATGATACCTCTTACGCCCTAATTAGTGTATGCGAACATCGTACTACAGAGACTGACACGTATTTTCATTTTTATCCAATGATAATTTTAATTATGTAAGAAACTGAAAATATTGCAATATCTGATTTCATATTTGTATGTATCCTCATCTCGATAAAAAATAACCATATTCTAGGTATTTTTCTAGATACATGCAATTCAATGATTATGTTAAAACAGGCGATTCACGTTTTATTTTTCATGAAGCATTAAATCGTGCATTCCAAAATTGCGGGAACCAAAATGGTTACCGTGTTGGCCTTACAAAATCTTCGTAAAACACTACTTCTATGATGCTGAATTATGTAACGATTATTGTTGTACCTGTTTTCTTTCTGTAGATAAGTTGTTTTCCTTTCCTAGACTGCGTATCAATTGTATCCGTCGGTAAAAATCTAAAGTTTATTATTTAGTAACGAATGTAAAATAATGCATGCTTTAAAAAAGATGCTGACTAAAGTTTAGCAATAATGAGAAGACAATTATATGGTGTAAAATTATATACTTCACGTAATATTGTTGCCTCATCGATAAAATTGCGTATTGTTGGTAATCGACCTTACCCTGTGCTGGTACTAGAATAACATTTCGAGATTAACCGTGTTAATGACCTCAATGCTATGAAATCAAGAATATATTACCTACGGTTAACCTTCATCGTTTAGTGGATTCTTACACGACGATTCCGAAAATCCTCTATTTTCGTTGGATCGATATGGATCCATGTGGATCGATAAACGTAAAATCACCAAATGAAGCATGATAAACGAAGCGAACTAGTAAACACGATGTTACCATGCGTCTACAGTTAATACGATCGACGAGAATTATGCATTTAAATTAAAAAAAAGAAATTCGTGAATCGCAGTACGAACATTTGTCCATAGGTATCGTATGTTTGAGAAGGGTATACGAATTAACCGTAATTTTCGAGAAGAGAGACTTAATTTTTAATTTGTCGAGAGAGTCGACGTGAAAATTGTAACGTGGACCACATGGTGGCGTTGTTAGGCAATTAAATGGCCGAATGACGGAATAAGGAGGCAGTAAGAATTGGGGGAGATTAATTTTAATGAAAAGGGAGACCGTTCTGGGGTTCACGGACAGAGGAAGCTTCTATAATGAATTTTAAGCATTGCCAATCAGAAATTTGACCACGTGGACGGCATCTGTGGAACGACTTTGCTCGCATACGAGTAACTTTGGCTATATGCTTATATGTTTGCAAGCGGAACACGTGTCGCCGAAAGTGAAGCGTCGCATAACAAGAGTCGACGGAGAGGTTACTATCCACTCGTGGAACTATCTCACAATCTGTGCATGATATACATCTGTATAACGTTCTTAGCAGCAAAAAGGGAGAAGCTGAAGAAGAAACCGGTAGGATGTGTGTTCTAAAAGGGACCATTCATTAAACATCTCTTAGTTGATTTTTCGTTTTCTGTTTGTAGGTGCTTTTTTCAAAGAAGGAAACCTTGACGTTAATGTTGAAGACTAAGATCAAAGACAGTCCTGTTCAAAAGATCAAACAGTCATAAGATTTTAAGCAAAATGAAGTAAAGCAAAATAAGAGATAAAGGACGAGAGGACAAAAGTCATCCCTCGAAGCTTGCTCACAAACAGGTTGCGTCGAGTCAAGAAAGAGCAATGCGACTCGAGGCTCAAGGCCGTCCGTGTAAATCCGGCCAATCAACTTTAGCAACTGGTTGATCGTTGAGAAAAAAGAATGATATCTCACGCTAGCAGCGCGGTATTCACACGCTTACGTACTCTCTTAAGTGTCTTTTTGGATTCGTTCCCTCACTCGAAATTTCCACACCACGGTTGCCACTTTTTGTCTATGGTCGTCGCAATTTGACAATCCTAATGCCCATAGCACAGTCGGCCGTAACTTTAATCGAGCTGCTGAGGAATCAATCGGATCCTGGATTCGTGGATTTTAGCGAGAAAACGGAAGAATCGTATGGAATGTAATATTACTGGGAACAGGATATCCATCGTGTTGCAATTATCTTTCATATTCTACGTGAGCACGCGTACCACTTGGTCAAGAAGCGAAACAACCGCCTCTCCACGCGCTTCGACTTTCTATCTGCGAAAAGCTGCTCTTTCGATTAGTCAAACAGTCAACTACTATGTTCGAATTGTTCGTAGTTGTTGGAAAAGAAACGAAAGTTAAATTATATAGATATCTCTATAATTTTTATATCAGTCGACTACTTCGACTTGACCCGTCGAAATTTCTTCGATCAAACTGGTCTCGCCTTGATTAACATAGATCTTGTTAACGTACCACAAAGATTACATCATAGATTATCACGAATAAATTACAGTTGAGTCATTGAAATTTTCACATCAGACAAGAGACAAATTAGACACGATGGAGACATGAGACGGCGACAACAGGTGTCTCACTGGTCGACCTAGTCTTTCCCGTTTCCACGCTATTGGTGAATATTCTTACACGATAACGGCAAGTTGTAGACCTCCTTAAATTCTATAGGCTACGTGGTGACGTAGAATGCTGCGGGATTTCGTTTTATTTGCATGAAACACTGCATTACGAAATGAGTTCGTGAGAAGAAACAAAGATCAAGAAGTTTGCTACCTGATAAAGGAATCTCTCATAAGTGTATATATTTGTCTGAAGTTTAATTGTTCTTTCTACACAACATACTACGAAGATATAAAGATGTTCAAATCTTTTAAAGTTTCCATCGTATGATTATGTATGCGTGTATTCGACTACTAAAAATTTTTATAATTTATAACGTTGAACGACATTTACAGTATCTGATATAATACTTTGATATGATTATTTTCATTTTGATCGATACATTCCCATTCTACGTTTTTGAATCTAAGAATTTGGAAAGTTTACTGCTATTCGCTTGGTTTATTAACGAGCTTCCTTTCGTTTCAGGTATCGAGGAGACTGTCAAGCTGGTGGGAGCCTCGGGTGGTATCTGTTACGGTTACATTTGCGATCTATGCAATCGAGAAGATATTTATAAGAAAGCGATGCTAGTCGAGGAAGAAGTTGGAAAGGTGAGGATTGCGCAATCGATGGGATAATTGAAGATCAATAGCACAAAGTCATTCAGTCTAAAACCATGCTCGAAGATTTCGAATGTTCCTCCGCAACTCGTCAACCAATTTTCTATTGCATGAAATATTCGTATTTCGTTAACTAAAAAGTGTCGTAGTAAATTCAACCCAACAATTAATTAACAAAGACACATTAATTACACAAAGATTCATGAAATACATGCAACTCTGAGTATTTCTCACTTTGCTGTATTGGCCGCAAATGTAAATGTATCTGGAAGTAGACACATAAAATCATGCCATAAAGAAACGTTTTTGCGACAGCGAAGGACTCAACAGTGGGTATAAGAAGCGGCATTCATGCTTCTAGAGACATCATATGTATTATGAAATCTCGCGTTGCATCATATCGACGCAATATGTTGCCTGATCTATTTCAAGAGCAACGTGGAATTGTGAGGCCACCATTTTGGGGGCACATACTCTTTACGTCAATCTTCATTTTGTCCCTTGATATACTAAATCACCATCTCCTTAATTTGATTTTCATCGATGTAGCAAATGTAGCGTAAATGACGAATGTAAACCATTGATTAAGTATGTCAATTTCATAGGTGACCATTTTGATAAACAACGCTGGCGTGGTGAGCGGCACGAAATTTTTGGATACGCCAGACAAGCTCATTATCCGAACGATGAATGTAAACGTGATGAGCCACTTTTGGGTACGTTTTTATCTCGTTTTTTATCACCTAATAACCTTTCCGAACTTATCAAGCAGCAAGAGAAGAATAGGCTAAGTTGTGTAATAAGAATGAAGCCCTTTTACTCGATGAAAGAATCGCATCCTGTGAATCTACCATTATTCATACAATTAGACGAATAAGCACGTTAATCGTGTTATATCTATAAGGAGATAATTTATTATTCTTGAATCACACGTGTATTATCGCAAATTTATGCGAAATTGCGCAGAATTTTCTTACTCCTTCCTATGGATCAAATATAAATGGATCTTAGAACGGGTCTATTAATTCGAACTCAAATACTTCTCCCTTTCTCAGTGTGAAATCTGAGTGAGAGGCATTCTTGTGCCTGGTGTTCTATTTAGGACTGTTGCCGTGGGTCAGGTGGGAAAACCGGTCAGATAGATGCAGCCGGTTAGCCGTGCAGTTGCAGTACACTCGTGTCTCGCAGTTGCGACACGCAAGGGGCACGCTTGTAAACGTATAGATGGTATTGAGTTCCCCGGTACGAAGTCTCCTTGGCGCAATACTCGAACACACTGTCGAAAAAGGAATTACACTTACCACAGTCTTATTTTATCCATCTTTAAACGTAATCGGCAAAGATGATTTTCTCCAACCATAAACACTTTCTTCGATACACATGACGGGCATTACTCGTCACAGGTTCTCTTCAGAGGAACATTTTTCTTCCTAGAAATACAAACGCCGATTTCGCGAATCACAAGAGGCTGTTCAACGTAACGGGATACGGAGTGAAAGTTCAGAAGAACATCATCCACGTCGACGCATTATCATTGTATACGAACGTTAGGAGAGCTAGCCGAGCGTGGATTCGGAGCACGAAGGATGAAAATTATAGCGTGTCTGACCAAAGAATACAAATTTAGCGAGATGTGTTTCGTCATTGACTTGTACCGATTTAACACTGATATCTGTCTGATATCGGTAAAAAAAAAAAAGAGAAAAGGGAGAGAAGGAAAGACGAAAGAGGGACAAGGTCTATCCATCGCTCGAGACATTTCGAAGACCTTTCCTTCAAGCCTTGAATGCAATTATATTTTCTGCCTCGATGGCAAGAGCATGTAATTACAGCCGAAGTTTCCACATATTTTGAAATTTCCTCGATACATGGCGTAATGAAATTCTTCCATAGATGGGACACGAGGAATTCCATACGAATTTCGCATAATCGCAACTTTCAAAAACATGACAGAGACGATTCGCTACGCTTCCAGCTATTATCGTTCTCCGTTGTTTCATTTTGTTTTAGACTTGCCTTAGTGCCCGAATCACCGTTATGCGCGGATTACGCACCGGCGGTTTTACTTTCGAAAGTGAAAACTAGTAGAACAGGGGAAGAAAAATAGATCAGCGACTACGGAAGTGGGTTAAGAACTTGATGAAAAGAACGACGTTAATCATGGACCTCTTGCTGCATCCGATGTCACGGTCATTTCGATGATATCTCGTAATTTCCTTCCCAGCGTTTGCTATTCAACGAGCTAGGCTCTCGTATATTTTCGTCCTGTGCATACAACATAGACAGAGTGTATTTGCAAATTACAACTTGTGTTACAATTATATTTGCTTATGTTAATAGCGTGTAGACATTATGAGCAAATATTGCACACCTGTGTAAAGGTAGCAGAATACGTTTAGCACTCGATTGCTTTATTAACGACGAAATAATCTCCTTCATTCTTTCAAGAAACTAAAGTTGTCGAAGTATTTGAATTGCCAAAGATAATGAGGAGATGCGACATTTTAAACATTCCATAATTAGTTAATTTAGCATCGGTAGACGTATAAATATTTTCAAAAATTACCAAAGATGCATAATAACTTTTTCTTCTTGTTTCTTTTTGTTAAGACAACAAAGGCATTTTTACCTTCGATGATGAAAGACAATAAAGGTCACATTGTGAGTATCGCTAGTCTTGCTGGGCACATAGGGGTACCAAAATTAGTGGATTATTGCACTTCAAAGTTTGCTGCAATTGGATTCGAGGAGGCCCTTCATATGGAATTAGCTGTAAATTTATTAATTTTTTTATATTTATATCGTTATTTAATACATTTAATACATACATATGCTATTCAACAATTTGTTTTTCTTTTTTTAGGCTGATGGATATAATATCAATACTACAGTGGTATGCCCATTTTTCATTCGAAGCACAGGCATGTTTGATGACGTTTCAACTAGGTATAAGTCTTTCCTTGCCATAACTGCGTGAATAAAATTGTATGAGCAGATTATTTACTTTCATATATCTGTCCTCGCATTCTTCAGATTTTTACCGAGACTCAGTCCAAATGAAGTGGCAGATCGAGTAGTGTATGCTATAAGATGTAACGAAAAGATCGCTGTAGTGCCGCGTTACCTTCACGTGCTTCTTATTGCAAAATGGTAAATAAAGAAATATGAATACAACGGAAAAATATTATAAAAGAAACTAAAATCTTTCATACAAGAATTTTCTAATCAATTCAATTTAATGCATTATTGTTTTTGGTTTTAGGTTATTTCCATGGGCTTCCGCAGGTATGTTTATACGAGGTATAATTTCAGAGAATGTTCCATGTCATAAACCATCGAGCAATACTACCAACAAAGAAAAAATCGTTCCCGTTATGGTACCCAAGAAATCGGAGAACACAATTATTCGTGAAAAATTGACCAGACGTATCGCCAATTCTGAGAGGAAGCCTTAATGGCTTTGTGATCAACAAGTTTGCAAATTTTACATATCCAACGTATTTTCGATTTCTTTCTCCTTTTCTGTATAAATGACGTATGTATAAAAGTTAGGAAATATTTTAACTAACATACGATAACAGCCATGTTACTAAGATGAAAGGCTCAGTTCGTTCGAATTTTAATGCACGTTAAAGAAACTTGTTTTCACAGCGAGTTGCTGTGTAAAATTAAGACAAGTTTTGTAAAAGAAGAAGCGAGAAGTTGTAGAACTACTATTCCCCAAAGACACGACCTCCATAGAGAAAGAAAGATTGATTCCAGGGAATACACTTTGGTATTCTGTTTAGCTATGTTAAGAAATAATAGCGTAAATGAAAATAAAGGTATTTCCGTAAGTGATGCTATTTATAATTTTAGGTAGTGTGTTGTCTTCTGGAAAGTACTGCACAATATTAATGAAGATTTATATATTTCGATGTTACTGGGTATTTCTGTAATGTTTTGTACAATAATAATATTTTATAGTACAGTAATGAAATTGATAGTTACAAGTTTAATATTATAAGTAAGAACGATTGATCTAGGCAACACGGGTACAATTTTTACAATTGGCTCTATGTGATACAATGAGCAATGATAGTAATGTAAGGATAGCGTGAGATTTGTTACTTGTAACTCATGGCTGTAAAAGAACAAGTGTATATTTATCTAGCGTATGTAACAAACTTGGCGAATTGTCACGGAAAAAAGAAAGAAAAATTGCAGATGTCCAACAAAAAAAATAAAGATTGTGTCATTTGTACGTATTGACCCACTTAAACTACCGACTTACGAGATGAAACTTGTTGATTCGAAACAACTATATGCAACTATACCGTTATCATTTTATAATGGTGTGCCATATGTCTACTCTAATATACGAATGATTGTTTTATACATAGATACTGTAATAAAATTACACACTTTACTCTTCGGCATTATTTATAAATTTTAATATGATTAAACGATACAACAATTCAAGAAATAGTGAAATTAATTATAAGCAAAGAAGATGGACTATTCCTAAATTTTTACCACTTTTTCAAGTTTACAATTTATTGTTGAGCTATGCTTCTAACATTTATAAGAAAAAAAATTGTATTTTATACATATAAATAGTATATGTTAATAAAAAAATAACAACAAATAAAAAAGGTCAAGTGTATCAATTGAAAAACCTATTTCACGCTTATACCAGCAATTGATAGCGCAATGATTTTATGGGTGGAACTGTACTCACGATTGTGATTTTTTATTCATTCCAGTTACTGTGTCAACTAAATACAGCGATAATGGAACCAAACATGGTTCAGATACGCATTGCACAAACGTTACATTGCAATCACATCAGAGTACACAACGTGACACGTTTCCGTACCTAACTTATTTTATCTAAACAGGAGGAAATATTTCCTAAATCTGCGAAATTCCACGTTTCATTTGCAATTTAATTTCTTTTATTAATTAATATCGAAAACAATGGTAAAATATTGTAGTTTTACAACGAAAAACCTAATCTATTTCAAAATTTTTTCCAATGTTAGTTCTAAAAGTTTAAAAGTTTTTCAGGATAGTTTAGCTTATCATCGCATAATTGAGATACACACGAGTGGGTGAACATGTGTGCGTTCCATATCCGTTATGAATATTGAACATAAAGAGTGTAATAGAAAAATGAAAAGACGTTTTCAAAATTACCTCTTGAACAAGAGTGTACCTTTGCTTCTGCAGTTTCAATACGTCAGAGAATAATCGAAAAATACGAAAGAGTTAAAAAGAAATAACATTGAAGGGATTACACGAATTACTTGCACCAGAATTATGAGCAGCAGCGAAATGACCGGCTTTCTTTTCGAATCGGCCGAGAAATGTCGCTATTCTTTAGGAATTAGGTCACCAGACAAGATGAATCGCGGCTGCACAATTTCTAACATATTTTCTCCCAGTTGTCGGGAACACCCTGTACATAGAAACATCGATATTGTCTATCAAACACATGTACATGACACAGTAGACAATGTTAGCTTACAACTAGAATCGTATGCGTCCACGGCAAAATAGTAACAGCCACGATACCGGCCTTATCCTACATCCAGTCGAACGTGCTCGCGTCTCAAACACAATTCATCCTCCTGTAACAGTTCATTACAAGTGATATAATAAAAAATCGAAAAAAAGGAATAGGACAAGACCAGTAAAAGGGTACCTTGCGTATAACTTGATCGTACCATGTTGTACTTGTCGTCGATCATCAACAATCAATTAGGACTCCCGCTGAAGATAAAATCAAACCATTATTGCGAAGCGATATCAAATCGACGTAATCTCTCACCTTCTTTCTTCCGGTCGGTTACGCCGCGTGTCGTTATCATAGTGCAGATAACAGTCATATTGAGACTCTAGTCGTGCCGATTACGCAAGTTACCTTTAGAATTCTCGCCACAGTTTCGATTACCATAAAATACAAGAAGAAGAAATACAAGAATAGCCACGTGAACATGAGCCTCCAGTTTCTTTGTGAAAGACAAAAGTAGAGATTCTTAATTCCTGATAGATGTTGACTGCAATTTGGTTTTCCATTGCTGGTCATGAAGATGAGAATCTTCGAGTCGTTGTTGTTCACGATTTTTCTGTGCCATGAGTGGGGTGAATCTGACACCATAGAGACCAAGATTTTAAGACTATGCGTCTCTCAGAACACGTGCGAAAATTGTCTACAGGCCAGCTCCTCTTGTGCTTGGTGTAGTGACTGGGTAAATGTACCAAGAAACTTCTTTCATCGGAGCAGTTCATTCGAATATAAAATTTGAGTTCGCTGGTTGAATTTTCCTTTCTCCCATTTGTACTTTCAGTCTTATTCGAATTTGACAATCGGAAGGCCGCGGTGCAATGTACCGAAGAGGCTGGAGGAGTTTGGTTGCGCGCCGGAGGAAATTCGCACTACTCCACCAGGATTGATGATGCTCCTCGAGGATTCAAACTTTCAAGATATGGAAGCAGACCGAATACCGATACAGTTGCGGCCGCAGAAAGTAAAAATCAAAATCTCGCCTCATTCTGAAATAACGATTCCAGTTCGTTATCGATTAGCCAAGTACGTTTGATATCTATTTACAAAATAATGCGAATAACATGAACAAGCCTGAATTAGCGAAATCCGTGTCTAATTTAATGAATATAAAATCGTTTTCATGCAAAAATGTTGATATAATGAACATCGATAGACAAATTAAATAGGCTCTAACGATTTAAAATGATTTAGAAATTACCCACTAGACTTATATTATCTGATGGACCTAACATGGTCGATGAGAGACGACAAGGATACCCTGGTCAGCTTAGGATGGGACATGAGTCAAACACTTGACAAATTCACCACTAATTTTCGTCTGGGCTTTGGTAGTTACGCTGACAAGCCTCTAATGCCGTTTATCTTCCCAGGTCACGAGGATAATCCTTGCAAGAGTGAACACGCTGTTTGCTCTCCTATTTATTCTTATTGGCACCACTTAAAGTTAACCAACGACATCCAACGATTCATCGTAGAAGTACGAGATCATTTTTGCTAGAAGAAAGATAGAAATAAAAAGGATCGAATTTCAGTATTGAATTTCAGGTAAATGACAGCCTAGTAACTGGGAATGTTGATAATTTGGAAGGGGCATTGGATGGAATCGTGCAGGCGATTGTGTGTACCGAAGAAGTTGATTGGGCTCATCAAGCGCGAAAGATTATTCTAGTGGCTACTGATGGACAATTACATTTTGCCGGTGATGGAAAGGTAACACAAAGTAACGATTTCTTATGCCTTGGTTTAAGACTAAAATAATATCTGAATCTTTATCCTGCCTTAATACCTCAATCAGCTAGGCGGAGCTGTGAAGCGTCAGGACTTCAAGTGTCATCTCGACGAGCGTGGTCAATATTCTCTAGCTACGAAATTCGATTATCCTTCTCTGGCAGAATTGTCAAGACTATTACAGGAACATAAGATCAACTTGATATTCGCTGTGACGGAAAATAAACTCGACGAGTACGAGGAGACCGCCAAATTGCTGAAAGAAAAAGCAAGGGTTGCTACCCTGACCAACGACAGTTCGAATATTCTGGAAATTATCGAAAGAGCTTATCACGAAATTACCTCGAAAGTAATCTTGCATGACAATTCTTCGAGTCCTCTTCAAATAAAATATTTCTCCAACTGCGGCAAGGAAAATGTTTCGGAGTGGAGTACCTCGGAATGTGATGACATAAATGAAGGGCAAGTGTACGATTTCAAAGTCGTTCTATCTTTCGATGAATGTCCAAGGGACGAAAGTTTATGGGTACCTAAAAACTATAAATGTAAACTAAAGTTTCTGATCATTTGTCTGTCTCATGCAACAACATGTCTTTGTATTTTGTCAGAAACAAACCGTTGTAATCGAGGATGCGCTGGCTTCCCAAGTATCGAAAATAATAATCGACGTTGAGCTTCTGTGCGGTTGTAATTGCAGAGATACTGAAAGTTCCCATTGTCAATACGGAACAAATGAATGCGGTCTGTGTAAATGTGACTTCGGTTGGTCCGGTAAGAAACCTGAATTTTACTCTCCTGCTG